TATATATATGTATATATTAGTGCTTACTGGCCTACCTCAGGCATGAGTGCTACTGGAACAAGACATAGATGGACAAGAGCAGAAAACTTGGAACTGATAAAATGCTACTATACAAGCGACCCCAGTGAGAGAGGTTACATGCAGAGATTATTGGAGTTATGGCAGCTCCAGAATCCATCATCGACACTGACAAAGAAACTACTACTAACTCAGTGCTCTAACATCTGCAAACGGCAGCTCCTATCACAGCTAGAAATTGATGAGGTACAACTGACATGCTGCGGCAAGGGGGAGTCAGGACAACAGGTCAATAGATACATATCATCATCATCCCAACACACAGAGATTGGGTCCCCAGCCAACAACAACAAGCCCACTAACGGAAAGGGCGGCTGACCTACGACTCATAACCAAACTGGATCCCCTAGTACGACGACCAAGACTGCCAAGGCTAAGTGACAGAGTACCCTCTGAAAGCCTTCTAGAAGATGTAAATGCAGCGCTACGTACTATCCCTACTAAATACATAACTGAGACCAATGAGCTGACCTATGCCACAGCTACAGTGATCCTAGAGATGCTTGGCTATAAGATAAACACCAAAGGCCACAAAGCGGAGCACTACCCCCCATGGAGGAGAAGGCTGGAAGCCAAGATCAAAGCAACACGAAGAGAGGTTAGTCAGCTCTCAGACCTGGAGAAAGATCTGATCCACCCAGGGCTGAGACTGAACAGTACTGGAGGAACATATGGGCCAAGCACCAGCTACTAGTGGATAGAGCAGTCACTTGAGTCTGTAAGACCAGGCAGACAAATCTGTGCACTGCCTGGATTGACTATAAGAAAGCCTACGACTCAATGCCACATACATGGATACTGGAATGCTTGGAAATGTACAAGANCCTCTCTATTATATGTTTCCATCTTGAGAGAAATTATCAGAGAAAGGAAAAACACAGCGAAAGCCGCTGGGCTCTGGTTGCTGTGGGACCAAACACTCTTATATTTAAACAGTTTTTAATGCTCCTCCTTTGACAAACACGACAGCTTGATTTTTTTTTTCCTTTCACATATTTTCTATGCAAGCATATCAAATTCTATATTTCATAAAAGGATATAAATTAGATGTCTGAAATTGTTTTATTTACCTCATCTAATTTTATTCATACCTAAACCAGGGCAAAGAAAATGCATCTGATGATTAGACTTAGACAACATTTATTGTCGTTTTGTATACAGAGTGTATACAAAATGAAATTTGATTTTGTACAGCTCACATGACATTTCCATTTTTTTAATCAGAATCAGAAATACTTTAATAATCCCAGAGGGAAATTACTTTTGTTACATGCTCCAGATACAGTTTTATATATATATATATATATATATATATATATATATATATATATATATGTCAAGGTCCTTAGTGCTTACTGGCCTACCTCAGGCATGAGTGAAACCCGCAAATACAAGAGCCATACCGGCTCGGACGTCGCCCAGGTTAACAAGGTCGTAGGTCTGAGACCAATGAGCTGACCTATGTCACAGCTACAGTGATCCTAGAGATGCTTGGCACAAAGCGGAGCACTACCCCCAATGGAGGAGAAGGCTGGAAGCCAAGATCAAGGCAACACGAAGAGAGGTAAGTCAGCTCTCAGACCTGCAGAAAGATCTGATCCACCCAGGGCTGAGACTGAACAGTACTGGAGGAACATATGGGAGAAGGAGGCATCCCACAACACCAACGCTCACTGGCTAGAAGATCTAAGAACAGATCACAGCAATCTCCTAGAACAAGAGCCAGTATCCGTTACAACGGCAGATGTCCAAGAAAGAGTGGCAGGTATGAAGGGCTGGACAGCACCAATAGGCACATGGCTCAATACATGCACTCTTCCCAGAAGGGAATAGGCAGTAACACCAGAGGAGCCAAGCACCAGCTGCTAGTGGATAGAGCAGTCACTCGAGACTGTAAGACCAGGCAGACAAATCTGTGCACTGCCTGGATTGACTATAAGAAAGCCTACGACTCAATGCCACATACATGGATACTGGAATGCTTGGAAAGATCAACAGGACTCTAATAGCCTTCATCAAGAACTCAATGAAGCTGTGGAAAACAAGTCTGGAAGCCAATGCAAAGCCAATAGCACAAGTCACCATCAAGTGCGGCATATACCAGGGTGATGCACTATCCCCACTGCTGTTCTGCATAGGCCTGAACCCCCTCATTCAGATCATCACAAAG